CAAAAATGGGAAGCAGAAGCTAACAGAACTGAAAGGAAAAACAGAAAAGTCTATATTCATAGTTGGATGGTTCAACAGTCCTCTCCCCAAAACTGATAGAACAATTAGACTAGCAACGTTGTAGAGTAACTCAGTAAAATTATCAACCAGAAGGATCTAGTAAAGGTAGAATACACTGCCCAGCAACAACAGAACACACATTCTTTTTAAGTGCATGTGGAATACCTACCAAGACAGACCACATCCTGGGCCATGAAAAAACTCCCAACAAATTTAAGAATTCAAATCATACAGAGTGTGTTCTCCAGCCATTATAGAATCAAGCTAGAAAGCAATAACAGATAACAGAAAAATCTCGAAATACGTGGAAACTACACTGTATACTTCTAAATAATCCAGGAAGTCTCAAGGGGGAAAAAAAAGACACTGAACTGAATGAAATAAAAAATATATAAAAATCTGTGGGACAGAGCTAGCATAGTTATCTATCCTTTTACTTGTAACTTATAAGGCAAAATAATAGAAAGCATAAAGATCAGAAAGGAAGAAATAAAACTATCCCTATTGGCAGATCACATGATTATCTAAATAGAAAATCCCAAAGAATTTACATATAAACTCCTAGGAGTAATGAGTGAGTTCATCAAGTTCTCAGAATACAAGAAAAATGTGCAGTATCAATCATATTTCCATATACCAGCAATGAACATGCAGACACTGAAATAAAAATCAAAGTATCATTTGCAGTTCCTAAAAAAATAATGAAACACTTACTAGATGTAAATCTAATAAAATGTGTATGGAACTTGTATGCTGAAAACTATACAATGCTGAGAAAAACAAGGGGAACAGCATCTAAATAAATGGAGAGGTATACTATCTGAATGGATTAGAAGAATCAACATAGTAAAGATCTCTATTCTCTTTAAGTTGATGTAAAGGTTTAATATAATTTCTATCAAAACCCCCACATGATTTTTTTGTAGATATCTACAATATTTTTTTTCCTGAAATTTATATGAAAGGACACAGGAATTAGAACAGGCAAACTTATTTTGAAAAAGAAGAATAAAATGGAAGAAGTCAGTTAACCGTATTTCTAGACCTTATACAACAGTAATCAAGATTGCGTGGCATAGTGGAAGGATAGATATATAGATCCATGGGACAGCATAGAGAACCCAGAAATGACCCACACAAATAAGCTGGATTTGTGGTTTTACAAAGTTACAAAAGCAATTTAACAGAGGAAAGGGAGCCTTTTCAAAAAAAGGGTGCTGGAGGAAGTGCCCATTCATAGGCAAAAAAAATCAAACCTCAATGTAAGTCTCACACTTAATGGGAAAATTAACTAGAAATTCCTCATAGAATTAACATTAAAATGCTATAACATTTCCAGTGTGTGTGCGCGCGCACACACACACACACACACACACACACACACACACACACGGGGAAATTGTTGGGATTTGGAATTGGCAAAAAGTTCTTAGATTCCCAAGTATGATCAATCCATGAAAGAGAAAATGATAACTTAGATTTTATCAAAATTAAAAACATTTGCTCTGTGAAAGCTCATTTGAAGATAAGAAGACAAATCACAGAATGGGAGAGAAAATATTTGCAAACCACATGTCTGACAAAAGTCTAGTGTCTAGAATATACGTATAAAGAACTTTCAAAACTTAATAGTAAAAAAAAAACCCTCAAAAAATCCAATTACAAAATGGGCAAAAGACATCAAGAGGCATCTCACTGCAAAAGGATATACAGATGGAAAATAAACACAAAAGATGTTCAGCCTCATTAACTAGTAGAGAAATGCAAATTAAAACCACAGCGAGATAGAACTGTACACCTATCAGGATAGCTAAAATAAAACATACTGACAATATCAAATGCTGATGAGGATGTGGAGATGCTGGGTTGCTTATACATTGCTGGTGGGGATTTAAAATAGTACAACCACCATGGAAAAGTTTGGCAGCTCCCTAAAATAATTAAAGAGGCAACTACCATATTCATTTATTGAGTACCTATTATGTGCTAGTCCTGAGCCAGGCACTTTGGGTTGTTTTTTCATAAACTCTCCAGAAATGACTCCAAGCAAGGCATGATTATTCCCCTGATGAGGAAGCTGTGGCTTTCTCTGAGGTGACACACTTGCCTAGATGCTCAGTGTCAGAAAGCCTGCGTGGAATCTAGGTCTGCTTTCAGCCCTCGTGTTCTTGTCTCCAAGCTTTCTCCCCCATGCAGAGAGGGAGCTGCAGCTCCAACATCACAGGGCAGGGGAGAGGTGAGACCTGGGCAAGGGTTCTGAGCTTTCTCTTTCTGGTATACTAGGATGTGTCCCTTCTGCTCCAGTGACGTCTCCTCCCTCTAAGAAGACTCCCCTGACCGAGGCCTGCCTGCTCCAGTATTCCCCAGTCACTCATATTAGCTGAGTTTTCATTGTTCCTCTGAAGTTGTACTTTACGTCTTGGTGTTTGTTCTATAACTCGTTCTCTGTCTGACAGAGATAAAAATGTATCTCTCAGACTAGATTCTGAGTTCCTTCAGGAGCACCCACAACAGCAGCTACCATTGGCTGAGCTCTTTACTAAACACTTGACACATTTGTCTCGCTGTATTAGCTACCTGTTGCTGCGTAACAAACAACCCCCAACTCAAGCAGCTTATACCAGAAAGCATTGTATTGGTTTCCTAGGGCTGCTGCACCATGTTACCAGGAACTGGGTGACCTAAGAGAACAGAGTTCTCTCCCAGTTCTGGAGGCTGGGAGTCTGAAATCGATGTCAGCCGGGCAGCCCTCCACCCGAGAGCTCAGCCTCTTCCAGCTTTTTGTGGCTGCAGCGTCTGTTGGCTCGTGGCCACATCAGTCCAATCTCCGCTTTCCCTCCACAGGGCCTCCTCTGTGGACGTAATGTCTCTGTGCCTCCCTTGTGAGGATGTTTGCGACAGCATTTAGGCCTACCTGAATGAGCCAGGGTGATCCCTTCATCTCAGGAGCTGTAATTAAGTCATAGCTGCAAGAACTTTAGCATAGAAGGTAATATTCACAGGTCCCAGGGGTCAGCAGGGGGACGTATCTTTGGGAGCATTATCAGCCCACCACACTACCTCATGGGTTTGCTGTAAAGATGAAGTCAAAAACAGGTACAGTGTTTAGATTGGGATGGGAGGAGCTGTAACACCCTGCCCCAGATAGCTCCTGTTACCTGGTGAGAAGGTCAGCTGTTCCTTTCACCTCTGGCCCCTGAGTCTGTGCAGACAGAGGCCCAATCACAGCACCAGCACGTGGCTCCCAATGACCCCATGACAGGGGCCCTCCTGTCCGATGACGCATGCCCCCAAACAAGCAGAGGCTTTCTCTGAGCTTGTATTAATATGTGCAGCCTTCTGCTCACATGGAAAATTGATTTTTCTTTTTAAGCACAAAAGGTAGCCAGTTTTATATAACCTTTCTGCAGCCTGACAAAGGCCATTTATAACCTACTTTCTCTGTCACCCTTCCTGGCGCCAGTCTCAAAAGTCTCGAAGAACTCTGCCATGCATTTGTAATTATGAATTCTTCTTACGCAAAATTTAACTTCCAGGAGGGCTGACCTTTTGTTTGTCACTGTGGTTTTTGTAAGTGAGTGAGTGTGTGTGTGTGTGTGTGTGTGTGTGTGTGTGTGTGTGATTGATGTTTCCAGGGGGAAGGGCCCGCTGCTGGTTGGGAGGGAGGAACCCATTGGGAGGGTGTTTTAATCAGCGATGTCCAGTGATGGATGAAGAGGGCTGGGCTCCGGGTGTTAATCTTGGTGGACAGGAATCGCCAGCAGGGCGACTGAAATTAAAACCTAGTTCCTCATCTTCTCCCCCGAACGCCCGAGAGTTGGGACTGTTTCTCCACCTGCTGGACTGGAGATGAGCTCATCTTCATCAAATGATGGGAAAGCAAATTAAATATACAGCCACTTGTCCCTACAGTGTGAGCTCTTCCTTTCGCAGAGCACGTAGCAGGTAGCAAGAGCATTCGGCTAAGGTCACGCAAGGTTGACATCTCTGGGGTTTCTTAGGGGCCAGAGGGCAGCCGTTTGGCTGCCTGGAGGATTTGAAATCACCTGCAGAAGACATTGTCTGTCAGCTTAGAGAACAGCCCAGTCATTGTTGTGGATGTTTAAAACTCATTCACTTATTTAAGCTGGAAAGTGATGCTATTTACAAATACCTCTCCTGTGGCAATTAGGAGGCAGCTGTAGAGGGAGTCAGGCTAGAGGCCAGCAGACTGGTCGGGAGGCCTTTGCAGGCTCCTGAAGTGAGTCTGCGGGTATCTCATGGTGGGCTCCAGGCACAAGGATGGAGAAGTGGGGACACACTCAAGACAGAAAGGAAGAGACATCACATTTGATGAGTACCAAATGGGTGCCAAATTTTGAAGGCAGATGCACACCTCTGTCGTCCTGCTTAAGCCTCATAACAAATTCACAGGTGTAGGTGCTGGGCCCATTTAACAGATAATGAAGTTGAGGCCCAGAGAGGGCATCTTGCCCTGGATCTCACAGGGAGAAGGCGAAGAGCTTGAATTTAAACCCCTGTTGGGTAGGAGCCCTTTAAACTCGATCTGCAGCCTCTCTAAGTGACCTTTATAGCAGTAATCCTTGTTCAACAATTACAATAAACAAACTTATGATGATTCTAGCAGTGTCGATATTTTGTCAATATTAATAGCGTATTTGCTATATGGTTGTCCCATGAGTCACAGCATTCTCAGCACTTTGCGGACATTACCTCCCTTCATTCTCACAACGCTTCCAGGCAGATAATGACAAGAGGTCCATTTTACAGGTAAAGGGACTTATTCAAAGCCACACAGCTTTTCGTTGGCCGGAGGAAGCTTGGAACCTGTCTCACCTGTACCCAACACTAGCACCTTCCCAGAAGGTGGAAGGAGAGGGCGTGATGGGACCCGCCACCTCCTCGGCCATAACTCCCTGTTTCTCTCTCTCTCTGAGCAGTGTCCTGAGGAGCTGAGACCCATGAAGGATGGCTCCGGATGCTACGACCACTCCAAGGGCATCGACTGCTCCGATGGCTTCAACGGCGGCTGCGAGCAGCTGTGCTTACAGCAGACACTGCCTTTGCCCTACGATGCCACCTCCAGCACCATCTTCATGTTCTGCGGGTGAGTGTCCCCCAAGCCTAGCCATTCCCTGCCCAGCGACGGTGGGGTGCAGAAGAAAGGTCAGGGACTACAGCTCAGCCAGGTTGGACCTGACCTTCAAAGAAATGGCCTTTCTGCCTCTGCTCTTTCAGCCGAAGAGGCAACAGGCAAGAATATAACCTTCTGTTGGGTATTGGGAAGAATGGAGGAAGACTGATAATAAATAGAAGCCATGCTCAGGCTGTGTCTTGGGGTCAGGATTAGCTTCTGCTGAAACCCCTGTCTCCTCTGCCTCCGCCTGCAGCCCTTAGGAGTCAGTGCACTTAGGAGACAGAGGCAGGCGCCTTGTAGGTGTCACCAAGAAACCAGTAGGTGTCCTAAGAACACAGACTCCGCCCAGGCTTTCAACTCTGTTTCTGCAGGGATTTAGCAGTGCCAAGTTCAGGGTTTAGCCTCTCTGCACCCTAATACCCTTATGTGCAAGGACAATTAAAGGTGGGGGGAGGAGTGGAAAGGAAACAGTTCAGACAAATGCTAGGAGCTCAGTGGAGTTTTAAAATTAGTCTGAGACTGAAAGAAGGGGCACACTAGTACCAACTTGCTGAGTGGCCTGGGACAAGTCACTTTCCCTCTCTGAGCCACACACAGTGTTTGACCGCCTGTGAAATGGACCATGATGCCCCCCCTCTCTTCCAATGTACCTTCTCTCTCGCGGGGAGGACTCAGTGGTCGCTACCTCTTTCGTCCATACAGAGCATCTGGCATGGTATTTGGTCCTCAGCCACCACTCAAGAAAACGACAGCATTGTGTCTTCTCCTCTGTGTTCCCTTCCTGATGATGTCTTCGTATTGGAACATTTGCTCACCTTTTGACATTCTGTGACTCAGAAAAATTACCCTGGGCTCGCGTGAGCGTGTTAGGCCTGGAAGTATACTCAGTGCTTTACTAAGATAGGAAAACAGAATGAAGCCCAGAACAACCTTTTCCGTCTCGCGTGTTACGAAAAAGGGCGTGGGGGAGCGTGCATGGGTTTAATCTCAGGTGAACAGAAAATTGATTTCACCTGCATGGTTCTCATCTGAGGGGTCCAGTTCTCCCTGCAGGGGTTATGTCAGGGTCTCCCTCCCTGCCCCAGCTATACTTGGGGCTCCAGGTGCCTGAGGGCAGGTGTTGGGGCAGCCCTAGATACGCCTCAGTAACATAAATAAGGACTAAATTAGTGTATGCGGACCTGGATTTATAGCAGCCTCTCCGCTGCTTAAGTGACTGCAGGGTGGTGTTCAGTAAATTATGCATGGGCTTCCATCCAAGGCTTGAATACAGAATCAGTGGTATTCTCATCATGGCTATTTTTCTCCCTGCGTACTTTGGGTGAGGTGTCCACCTGCTCAAATAATAACAGTAACAGCACAGGGACAGGATTTTGACTTAGAAACTGTCACCACCCTTCACCCACAGCACACTGCTGTGGTTAAGGGAAATTCACAGACTCGAGGTCTCATCCTAATCTTTACCTCTAACTCTCTGGCACGGGACCCCTGACCTGCAGTTTCCGCATCTCTAAAAGTTTAACAATATCTACCTCCGTGTAATGATGGCTGTAGAGATTGCAAAGCAATTCACCTTTAATAAAATTCCGTGAAGGGTAGGTAACATGCCCAAGCTCACAGGGCTAGTGATGCAATGCACTGCCTCCTCTCTGTGTGACCTTGAGCAAGCTGTTTCATGTCCCCGTGCCTCAGTTTCCTCACCTGTAAAACAGAGATACTAATAGTATCTCTCCATAGAGTTGTTATGAGGACTAAATATATTACATTAATTGCATCACAATTTACATTAATATTTGTAAAGTCATTTGAATTAGTGCCCTGCAGGGCAATAACACTGTATGTGTTTGTTAATTAAATAACTAAAGCAGATGATAGTAATGACAGTACTCCCCCCCCCTGCCCCCAAACACACACACACACACACACTTGCTCGGTGACCCTAGGTGCTCAGCCTCTTGGTTTTCAGGTCTGTGAGACCCTGGAGAACTAACCATTTGTCTGTACCTGCAAGTCTCTGAAAGTCCTGAATTATATTGAATGGGTGGGAATGTGCTGTGAGCTGGTAAAGCCCATTCAGATGCTGATAAACAGGACAAAAAAAGGAAAAGAAAACCCAGTTCTCCAAAAACCAACTGCGCTGTCAACACGTTTTGAAAATTGTCTGCTAAGGGTGCAAATAAGGAGTTACCCACCATTGTCAGAAACACTATAAACAAAACAATGAAGGCTATTAGCAGATACTGTGCGAAAGCTGATCTGAGGAAATGGCGTGCTGTTGAATTAAGCAAGAAAAACAAACCCTCACTCAAAGGGACCTTCTCAGCTTGACCAAACCTCTGACTTTTCTAAGAGTTGACTGGGTAGGCACAAGTTTAACCAACCACTTTGCAGCCCGGTCTATAATAGCAGCTAACATTTATGAAGCACTCCGTATGCGCCACGACTGCGCTAAGTGTGTTGTGTACCTTAGGCCATTTAGTTCTCAGAACAACTCTACAAGGGAGATACCCTTAGAATCCCCTTTACTGTCAAGAAAACCAGGCACACAGTAGCTAAATGACCTGCCCAAGGCCACACAGCTGGTAAGTAAGGGCATCGGATTCAAACCCAAGCCTGTGGCTCCAGTCTCAGTCAGGACAGATTGGATGTCACTACTGGCCAACTGGCCAATTCTAGCCCTATGGTTCTGAGCCATCACTGAACTTCTCTGAGCCTCTTCTTTGAGGCAGAATCAGATGTGACTGTAGCACCATGGTGAGGCTTAAATGAAATTGTACAGGGGCTGGCACACTGAAACATTTGGTAAATGGTAGTTATAATTAGTCTCATAGGCTTAAAGCCACCTCATTGAATCATTCCGTGACTGAATTGTATGTCTGGTTTACCTCTATCTTCAGCACCTAGGGCAGTGCCTGACATATAATAGGTACAATATTTAAAATTCTTACATGAAGTTCCTCAGGGAACATGACTAGGGAAGTTGTTCCCAGTCCGGCCTTTGCAGCTGATTTCCAGCTTCGTTCTTCTTCCTGAATTAGGCCTCTTGGCTTCAGCTCCTGGATTTTGACATTGTTCCCTGTGCCTCTTCCTTCCTCCTCCCCTGTACCCTTACCATTTGCCTGTTGCTCTTTAGCTTGGACAGCTTCCTCTTCATGTCTCAGTGCAGGCATCACCATCTCCAGCAAGATTTCTCTGAGCTCCACAGGGGTGCAGGGGTGAGGTGTGCAGTTACCCTGGAGCTGGGTACCAAAATACCTCATCCTTTCAAGTGGGTTCTATTTAAATATTGGCTCAGTAGTATTTGAATGAGTTAGGGTATGCCAGGAAAGGACTTTCCATTGTTCAATTTTGGTTTGTGTGTTACCCTTTCTACCCACAAGACCCTCTTACAAGGGGGAGGCCACTTACATTTAGCCTTAAATTCTAATGTATCCCTGTAACATCTTGACACCTCCTGCAGGCTGGACCTCTGGCTAGCTGTGCTGGTTATCAGTCCCGAGTCAGGCCAAGCTACACCCCAATGAGTAAAGAACTCTTTCTCTGGGGTCACTTCCCCCTCCATCTCCACCCCATGCTTCTCCCTGTGGTTGTCCCCCTTACTCTGTTGACTTCCCTGCTTTCCTGTCTGCCCCCTGTCACCCTGTGAACTCCTCGTGAGCAGGGACTGGGTGTTAGTTCCCTGTATGTCTCCGTTGTCATTCGCCATTGCTTGGCCCAATGACTTCTTCAACACCATAATTGTTTTTGTCTTGAATTAAGGAAATTTATCACCCTAAGATCTGTTGCACCTCCTCTGTGCCCAGTCTTTTGTGGGATGCTGAGAACAAAGAGAAGTATTGAGGACAAGTCCTTGCCCACCGAGGGCAAAGGAACCCTGAGGACAGGTGTCTCAGCTTCCCTTGGTCCTGATTGATGTTGCTAGAGCACAGGGACCGGTACGATAGAGAGAAGCAGGTGGATCTGAGATAGGCTGAGAAGGTCATTGAATACTTAGCTGAAGCATTTAGAAGGAAATCTTATAGGTGAGGGAACATTACTTTCCTCTAAGACCTTGGCAAGTTACCTAGCAACCATATTTGTTTCATCTGTGTGTGTGTATTTACAATGTATAGTGTGTGCATTCTTTCAAGAGAACTTAATATTATCCATCATAAATCCAACCTGTGGGGGGGAAAAAAGGATAATATAAAGATAAGACTGATCACAGCCATTTCTGAGGAGACAAAAGGGTAAAGGAGAGAATGGTTTCAGGAGCCTGAAATGGGAGAGTAGCTCAATATGAGATAAATTTAGCTCTATGCTTCTTGGCAACCAAAGTAAACAGGAAAAAGAAAAAAAAATGGTTGGTTATATAGTTGTCCTTGTTTGAGAAAAAAGAGGGTTGTGATTTTGGTTTTTTGCTTTTTTTTTTATCCAGAAGGCATACACACCTTTTCCTGACATGATTCAATACAAAAAACTGTTTCTTATATATTCCTAGGTAAGAAATAGTGAGTAATAGCATCAATATTTTTGAAGTCTCGATATTTTTCAGATCATTTAGAAGAAGAAACCGATGCCCAGAGGGTCTCACAGCCAGTTAGGAGGTGAAATTGGGATAAGAGATACCCTATGCTTCTCCCTTCCAATTTGAATGTATTTAATGTATTTCAATGTAATTCAATTAAAAATGTAATGAAAATGTATTTTAAAACGTGGGCTCAAAGGGCACGTCCAGACTCAAACAGTCCTTACTAGCCTATGTCCTATGTGTTTGATAGCATTTCTAAGTGATTGAGGAGGGAGAGGAGATAAATACATGTGTTTAAAATCCATTGTCGACTGGAAGCTGAAGGCTGCTCTCATAGTAGAAAATGCTGGCCAAGAGAGTGGACTCAGACATTTTAATTCAGACTGTCAGTGATGACTTGCAGGGGTGTTGCGGGTGGCGAGTGGCATTCGTTCAAACACTTGCCCTTTGTTGTCATCTC